CCACTCCACGTCAGTTCTACAGCTACAACCTGCCTGCAAGAACGCGTCATCCCTTGACGTACAGTAAATTGACGACAACCTGTCTACACATATCCAGACAAGGAACTGCAACGTAGTATCGTTACAACTGTTACAACAACATTACGCAACACAGCTTGTGTGTACCAGGCAGCAAACCGCCAACGTTTGCAACAGTCTATTTTAATCTTACTATCCGTTAGTTGATTAGGAAACATGGTTCTGATCACGCAGAACGCCAAGATGACCCCGAGCGTCAAGAAACAAAACTCCAAACAGACACGGAGCTGAAAATGGATGCCGGACAGCCTGTTGACAATCCGTCGAATGTAGAGGAAAATTCCGAGACTAGGCGAGTACGTGACCTCACGGAAAAAGGCCAGGGAGCATTCACAGAAAAACGTGACAAGTTCTGTCAGGAACTAGAGACCCTCTGGTCTGATATAGAATCCCAGTTATTGGAAGTCACCATGCCACCTAACGAGCTCCAGCAACTCTTAACAGCACAGGACAAACTTGTAAAAGCCTGTACTAACTATCGTAGGCTCACAGATGAATACCTGAACTTTCTGAAAAGGACCAGAACATTGGACAGTCTAAAGGACATAGACGCATGTAATCTCACGTTGGATATTCTACTGTCCAAAGTGGACCTGGCAATAGAAACATTGCACGAATATTGCATCGCCCTGACCAAGGCTAAATCTACTATAACAAAGACCTCAAAGAGTAAGAAAACCTCGCATAGCGGCAGCTCTAACGTGTCTGACATGTCAAGCCTAGCACGGAGGAAGCGTGCCAAAGCAGAGGCCGCTAAATCAAAAATATCCTTTGTCGAACAACATGCACTTATCCTACAACAGGAGGCAATGTTAGATGAACAAGCCCTGTTCAGACAAACTGAAATTGAACAGGAAGCAGCACGCAAAAAGGCTGAAATGGAGCAAGAAGCTGCACGAAAAAAGGCTGAAATGGAGCAAGAAGCCACACGCAAAAAGGCTGAAATGGAGCAAGAAGCCGCACGTAAAAAGGCTATAATTGAACAGGAAGCCACACGTATGGAACAAGAAGCCGCGCTTACAAAGGCTGAAATGGAACAAGAGGCAATACACAGAAAAGTGCAACTAGAACAAGAGGCCATACGCAGGAAGGCTCAAATGCAACAGGAGGCCGCACGTGTAAGCCGAGAAAAAGCCGAGCTGAAAGCCAAGTTAAACCTTCTCGAAGCACGAAGAGAAGCTGCAGCCGCCGAAGCCGAGGCTCGTTTCCTGGAATACGATGGCAGCCAAGCATATAGCGATCTCCCTGACGAAACAGAAGACCCGCTCCAGCGTGTGCAAGATTTCGTCAATAAACATCCTGTACCATCTGCTGTACAGGAAGTAACAGGACCCCAAAAGATAAAACAAATTCCTGTTAAGATTGAGCTGAGTCATGAAGCAACAGCGTTCGTGCCATCTGTGGCACTGAACTTGCCGCCACAGACATCTGCTGTTTTGCCTTCCGATACTAAGTCACCGGAAGTTACCTTAATCCCAGATCTGGGAATAGTAACCGGCATACAAAAACTAGGCCTTTCAGAAGAGATCCCTACTGAACACCAAAAACAAGGCATAATAGAAGAGACCCCTGTTGCATACCAGCAACAAATCAATCCTACGTCGGAGATAGCCAGATTTCTCCTACGCAAGAACCTGTTGTTCTCCCGGCTAACAAGCTTTAACGACCGGGCAGAATCCTTTCATACATGGAAAGCAAGCTTTAAGAACGTGACCGACGAGTTACAAGTTTCTGACTCTGAGCAGATTGATCTTCTGATCAAGTGGCTCGGTCCAGAGTCTGCCAAACATGCCATGAGTATAAGGGCATCAAATGCCAACAACCCAACAAGGGGCCTACACAGACTATGGGAGAGACTGGACGACCGATATGGTGCTCCAATAATGTTGGAGGCGTCTCTCGTCAACAAACTTGCCAACTTTCCAACACTGACAAATAAAGACAACTCACTCCTGTACGATTTGTCAGATATTATCTCAGAAATAGAGTATCACAAAGAAAATCCCAAGCTGGGATGTTTGCTAGCTTATTTCGACTCTTCGTCCGGGATAAATCCAATTGTAGAAAAACTGCAATACGGACTCCAAGAAAAGTGGATAACAAGGGCTTCAAGATACAAGTCTAAACACGAAGTTGCCTTTCCGCTTTTCACATAATTCTCTGCCTTCATCAGGGAAATTAGCAAAATAAAGAACGATCCTGGTTTCATCTTTGGGTCAAAAGTCACACCAAATACAAAAGGTGCTGCGCCAAAGTTCACACCTCAGACCTACTCTAAAGTCAACGTCCATAAGACGGATGTTGAACAGCAAACTGGAGACAGCAGTCAACAACAAGATCTGTGTATCCTACACAAGACAAAGCATCCCTTGAATGAATGCCGAGCGTTCCGAGCCAAGTCAATTGAGGAACGCAAAGAACTGTTAAGACAGAACAATGTGTGCTACAAGTGTTGTGAGTCAACCACACACAGAAGTCGGGACTGCAACGCAAGTATAAGTTGTAATGAGTGTGGAAGTCAACGACATACCACCGCACTTCACATCACTAGACCACAGCAACCTGCAAGTTCTCAGTCTAGTTCGCCCAGACAAGCCTACGGCGGGGAGCCAACAGACTCGGCTGAAATCAAGTTAACCTCTGTGAGTTCAACCTGCACAGAGATCCACAAAGATCCTAAGAGTGAGAAATCTTGTGCCAAGATATTACCTGTGGATGTGTACCACAAGGACAGGACAGACAAAATTATCCGGATGTACGCCATCATTGACGACCAAAGCAAGCGGTCTCTTGCCTCGCCTGAATTCTTCAGTCAGTTCAACGTTCGGGAAAAACCTGAAAACTACTCTCTTACAACATGCTCCGGCAGAGTAGCTACTTCCGGGAAAAGAGGAAAAGATTTCGTCTTAAAATCTGTACATGGTGACGTACAATTTGATCTGCCTACATTAATTGAATGTAATAATATTCCCAATAATCGAGACGAAATTCCTACTCCTGAAGTCGCAATGTATCATCCTCATCTAAAAGAACTCATAGGAAGCATTCCACCGATAGAGGAACGTTGCCAAATTCTACTCTTAATTGGAAGAGACCTTATAGAAGCACATCACGTCCTTGAACAACGCCTAGGACCATCCAGAACTCCATTTGCCCAAAAATTGAAACTACGCTTGAAGTCAACACAAAGATAACTAACGTTTCAATCACGAAACCAGAACAACTTCTCAACGCCTCAAGACCGGAAATATCCGTCAAGGACGAAAATCCAATCGCTGGTGAAGAAAACTACCAAAACTTAAATTCAGATATGAAGGTTGCAAAAATGCACTCCATACAAATCCTTGAGTGTGCTGGATCTAGTGCCAAATCTGGTAAACTCAAGAATTTCTCTAAAGGGACAGCACTCGTGTCACTAAAAGCAGAATCTGTGACTTCTATAGAAAATTCTATGGATAAAGAAAATTTCATTCCGAAATCAACAAGACCTGAAGTTCATGGAGAGGCAATCAGTCGCATTCACAAATCTATTCCGAAAGAAGGACCGATTGCCAATTTCAATCTGCCTGTGAACAATCAACATCTACTCCGAGTAGGAAGCAATATCGCAAAGTCTAACTTGGAAATTAGTGAAAAGGAACCAGTGGTCTTATCTGGACACCATCACAAAGCAACACCCTTTGTGGGACATTACTACGACAAAATCAAACATCGAGGACGCCACTTTACAGATAGAGCGACTAGATCCGCAGGATGGAACGTTAGGACGAAAAGCTTAATTTCGTCTGAGACTCACAAAGATGTGACATTTCGCCAAATCGGACGAGGACCAAGTATCAACTCCCGTCATACTTACGGGAGGATATCGCCGTCTTACAACGTTGGAGAAAACAGTTCCTATTATCGATACAGCAGTAATAGAACATTCTACAGAACACAACAATCTCATCCGAGACATCCTTTTTCTAAAGGACACGAAACTGTGCCAAACCCAGTTTCCCGTGGAATAAATTTATTCAGGAAACTTTATAGTGAAAAGTCGTAAGTTGAGACCTGATATTTCTCACACGACCAATAGTGGACATCTCACCTGTACATATTCAATTTATGTTGGGATTTATTTATTTATCTTATGTTCATATGCGATTAATTTATGGAATAGTGATATCAGATAGACATCAGACAGGGAGTATTCTGTTACGCCTTTCCTCAATTTATATAGTTCGTTTGATTATATTCTTAATCTGTTTATGTGTTCCAGTTTAGGAGGATTATTCATCTTTAACCTTATCAGAGCTTGTTATAAGAACTTTAAACATCGTATCATCGTTACCTTTCCCTTTCTTACACGTATCTCGAACTGAATATTGCAAGTTCTTCTCATAAATGGACTCTTTTTATCTGTGATATACTGGAAACTTCACCTTTAATAACTGCAGCTTTATTTCGCGTTCTATGGACTTTGATATTGTCTACACTTGACATTCATACATTATAACATTAATTGAACACATTGTAAAATTGTATTTTATTTTGTATTTTCAGCTTTTTACCATTTGTTAGATTGGTTTGGGAATAAATTATCAGCACCTGATAGTCTTATTGCTTGAGCCCAATCGTCGGTTAAACTTAATGGTCAGGCCATTACATCTGTCCTTGTCAACATGTCTTTCCTGATTTGTTTTAAGATTTCAATTTATTCGGTTTAGGTGACTTCTATTTTTTTACACAATAAATAATATAGTCCTAATTCAAGTGGACTATTTTGCATTGGGTGATACAAGTGGCATCATTCGTGATCATACATATGCCCTGTGTTCTTTTGGACTAATTATACAAATGAAAATGTGACACCTATAGTTTTTTTTATCTATGAACATTGTAGAATATTGAACGTATACATGAACATAAAATGTAATATAATTATAATAATAAATCTTTAATAAACAGGTTATGATTATTTTTTTAATATACCATCTATTCAAATTAGAGAAAAAAAGATTTAAGTAGGTACATGTAGCATAAAGGACAACATGATGAAGACTGTATTTTAAAAACAATAACAAAGACTTGGAAAAAAAGTTATACAAAACTGAGGATGTTTAACTGGACAAAACATTGAAAACATGTTATTCAAATTTAAAGAAATTAAATTTAGAATTGTTTTTGCAGTCCAGATATCCTGAGTACCCATGCATCTCGATTCGGTAACATATTAATAGGTATTGCTGGTATAGTAACATTAATTCCTCCATATTCGTTTGGTCTCCAGGAAAAATTGGCATCATAACCTAACATGTTGATAACAGTTGTAGTTGAGGTCTGAATTTTGGATCCAAGGACTAACGTGTTGTTGTATTTCGGCCAGGATAGCATGATTGCATACACGAAAACATCTGATCCGATCTTTTTGGACGTGTACCTGTAAAATGTATATATAATATTTTCTTCTGTTAATGATGCTTGCAAGCTTTCAACTATTAAATCAAATATCATCTCGATGTATAGCGTTTATTGCGCTGACGCAACGCAACGTTGAACAATTATAAATCAATCAATTGAAAAAGCCTTTTGACATAGGTATTTGCCTTTATGTTTCCAGTTTTATAGCATAGTCCAATCCGAAAAAAAACAGTCATTTAGACAACTTCCTGTTTGGGTCAACAGTCCTTGAACAGGTAAACAACAAAGTTCATCAGTAACGAGCTGAGGGAGGGAAAAATTTAGAAAGCGATCAATACGAAACTTTGATAGATTATGATCCACTTTTTCGAAACTCAATTTATAGTCAACAAATATTTTGTTTGAAGTATTTACGATGTTTTAAACAGATCTCATTAAAAAGTATCATGCATGGTGCATTGTTTAAACAGGGCCCCAGATAGCTTCAACTGGATGAAAAAGTTGTGTAATTTTAGAACTTATCGGAATGGAATAAATAGCGATTAGGTGTATTAGTTTACAGAATACATTTGTGATGGAACTGATATAGCTATATGTTTGCTTATTTCAAAATTGCTCAAGGCCAAAATGAAACGTACATATTACCTGAGATTACTATGACACAGTCATATAACTTAATCTCATAGTGTACCTTACATAGGCAAGGACCGTCGTCTTACCTGTGCAAGAATGTCAGTGTTTGTTTTACTGTTATAACATATTGTATACAAAAGACAAAAGGGGGAGGCATAAGCACATACATGTAAAACTTTAACACAACCCCATTTTGTGTCTGTAATACCTCAAGCAATCTGAACCATATCGGTTTAGTTTGTCTTTGTTTATACGTCCTATTTCTCGGAGAGTTTGGCGATGGTGGTTATTTTTTTTTTATCTGTTGTTATGTCAAATATTTTGATTAATTGCTGTTCATTTTTTAGTTTTCTATTGTTATTGAAATTACTTAAAAAAATATGATGGCATAATAAATCAAAATGTGTTTAAAGTTATTGAAATCTCGAAAAACAAAGAGATTACTAGTATCTTTTACATTGTTAAAATAACTAATGACAAATTGACACAGTAGTGCGCATGTACTTTATTTGGCCATTTTAACTTTTTTTTATTCGAGCGTCACTGATGAGTCTTTTGAAGACGACACGCGCGTCTGGCGCAAAAACAGAATTTCAATCCTGGTATCTATGATGCGTTTATGTACGGAAATGTTTCAAGGGGTAGCTAAATTTCTTACCAAACGTCTTTATTCACAGTGTCATTTTGATATAGCCAGGGTCTAGAACCATAAATGGCTTCTCCGTTGACTTCAAGCCATCCACCGAGTTTTAACAAATAGTCCTGATATAATGGAGAGATTGTCCCTTCTTTGGTTATTCCGATATTAATCAATATATTTCCATTACAACTGAAAAACAGAAATTTATCATTTGTAACCTTATTGTATACTAATATTATTCGTAACATAGTGTGCTAGTGACCTAATGCGATAATTTTAATATAAGGGCCAGTAATTCCATATTGGGTGAGAGCAAGGCTTGAATCCACATATGGAATTTACTGACCCATATATATCGTATTAGTTCACTAGCACGCTGTGTAACGAATTTATCTTACATGTACCGACTATCTTACCATGTAGTATTTGGACTAGTGGCGAATCAAAGTGATCACGTCTACTACTAGCAAGTCAACCCCATATGAAATATACACGGTCTCCACGCAGTTGCTTTAAACCAGTCATATTTCTAGATATGTATTTGAGGTAAGATAAAATTTCTTACAGTTCAAATAACAGTATTTTTTCATGAAACTTATTGCATGTTAAAGTGTCTTGACTGTCACTATAAAGGGAGGTTACAATGTCCAAAGGGTTCTACTATATATAAAACAAAATCTAGCATTGATATAATAAACACCAAATCTCATCTTCTAAAACAGAAATTATGAACATTCACTTATCACAAATAAGACACCGCCCATTCCGATTTTGCATGTAAGAAAATGTTTTTTTTCAAGGGAACAAGAATGTTTTTCAACTTAAACCGAAAACCAAGCTATTCTTTTTTTCGAAAATATATTGCCATGGAACATTTTTAATCAACATTTGCTTGAACAAAACAATGTTCGACAAATTCTAAGAAAAAAGTATTGACTTTAAGAAGTAATATTTGATTGAACCAATGGACAATACAGACTCATGTTAAACATGAGCAACACGACGGGTGCCAAATGTGGAGCAGGATCTGCTTACCCTTCCGGAGCATCTGAGATCACCCCCAGTTTTTGGTGGGGTTCGTGTTGCTTAGTCTTTAGTTTTCTTTGTTGTGTCATCTGTATTATTATTTGTCTTTTTATTTTTGGCCATGGTGTTGTCAGTTTGTTTTCGATCTATGAGTTTGACTGTCCCTCTGGTATCTTTCGTCCCTCTTTAAAACCTTACAGACTAGCAGTGGTTGCCTTATGTGTTAAACCTGACAGACTAGCAGTGGTTGCATTATGTGTTAAACCTGACAAACTAGCAGTAGTTGCCCTGTGTTAAACCTGGCAGACTAGCAGTGGTTATCTTATGTGTTAAACCTGACAGACTAGCAGTAGTTGTCCTGCATTAAACCTGACAGACTAACAGTGGTTGCCTTATGTGTTAAACCTGACAGATTAGCAATGGTTGCATTATGTGTTAAACCTGACAGACTAGCAATAGTTGCCTAAAGTGGTAAACCTGACAGACAAGCAGTAGTTGTACTGTGTTAAACCTGACAGACTAGCAGTGGTTGCTTTATGTGTTAAACCTGATAGACTAACAGTGGTTGCCTTATGTGTTTAACATGACAGACTAGCAGTGGTTGCATTATGTGTTAAACCTGACAGGCTTGCAGTGGTTGCCTTATGTGTTAAACCTGACAGGCTTGCAGTTGTTGCCTTATGTGTTAAACCTGACAGATGATCAATGGTTGCATTATGTATTAAACCTGACAGTAGTCGCCTAAAGTGTAAAACCTGACAGAATAGCAGTGTTTGCCTTAAGTTTCAAACCTGACAGACTAGCAGTGGTCGCCTTATGTGTAAAGCCTGACAGATAAGCAATGGTTGCATTATGTGTTAAACCTGACAGACTAGCAGTAGTTGCCTTAAGTGGTAAACCTGACAGACAAGCAGTAGTTGCCCTGTGTTATACTTGAAAAAGTATCAGTGTTGCCTTATGTGTTAAACCTGACAGACTAGCAGTAGTTGTCCTGTGTTAAACCTGACAGACTAACAGTGGTTGCCTTATGTGTTAAACCTGACAGTCTAGTAATGGTTGCCTTATGTGATAAATCTGACAGACTAGCAGTGTTTTCTTAAAGTGTTAAACACGACAGACTAGCAGTAGTTGCCTTAACTGTTAAATCTGACAGACTAGCAGTAGTTGCCCTGTGTTAAACCTGACAAACTAGCAGTGGTTGCCTTACGTGTTAAACCTGACAGATAAGCAATGGTTGCATTATGTGTTAAACCTGACAGACTAGCAGTAGTTGCCTAAAGTGTTAAACCTGACAGACAAGCAGTAGTTGCCCTGTGTTAAACCTGACAGACTAGCAGTAGTTGCCTTAACTGTTAAATCTGACAGACTACCAGTAGTTGCCTTGTATTAAACCCGACAGACTAGCAGTGGTTGCATAAAATGTTAATCCTGACAGACTAGCAGTGGTTGCCTTATGTGATAATACTGACAAACTAGCAGTGGTTACCTGTGTTAAACCATACAGACTAGCAGTAGTTGCCTTAATTGACCTGACAGTCTGGCAGTGGTTGCCTCATGTGATAAACCTGAAAGACTGGCAGTGGTTGCCTAATGTGTTAAATCATACAATCTAGCAATTGTTGTCTTATGGCATATCCTAATTTTAGAAAACTTGGCGTTGATGGCAGATCTCTGATAATTTCTGTTTTCTTATTCACAACTAAGCATTGGTATAATAAAATTAACGGTTCCAAGTTTACAGCACCAAGACGTGCATTTATACAATAAATGTAAGTTCAGTGATGCCCGAGGTCAAAATAATTGGATATTCAAAACCGAATATGTATTTTGAAGAGCTGATAAAACCAAAAAGGACAAAATGTAAAGCCAAATTTAATGCATGACATATTGTGTAAACACCAGTCTATTGTCAATTACCGTATGCTACATTCTTTATGTCTTTTTGTTATTTTTCTCGTTGGGTCACTGTCTCATTGGTGTATACACTGCATCACCTTTTATTGATACATGTATGCACACTCATTTGACACATTTTAGAAACTGCGACACTTTCTTATCGATTGAATCTAAACTCAAAGATTGTAATAAAAAATGTATATATTTTGTGTGAAATTACTATCAATTGTTTCAATGGGAATGCATTCCCCTCTTAACAAAATAAAAAATATCAACATAATCGATGATTACCTTTTTGAGACCAGAAAATTGTATAAAAATCGAGACGACTTGCTCTTTATTCAAACAAAACTAGTCAAATCTTAAACCGGATATTAATCTTTTTGGTAAAAAATATTTTCCTTTAATTTCAACCTGAACAATCGGCCAAAATGGCGTGCTCGAAAACTTGTCTGTATAACATAGGTAGATCTGATTTCGGGAAATGTGTCGTGCTAAGGACTATGTGGAGGACGTTAAAAATTAGTGATTGGCTTAAAATTTTGTATATGCATGTTTTTTTATCATTGATTTTTATTTTAAATTAATCGCAATACTGATTGTGTCCATGATTTGGTCCTCTATTTAAAAAAAACTTATTCTTCTTACCTAATCTTTTGAATATGATATTGTCGAGTATTATCTTTCAATACAAATATAAAATATGAAAAAACGCACCTGACTGTTTGAGCGACCTGTGTCAAAAGCTCATTTATAGTAAAATAGTCCGCAAGTTTAGAATTCCTTCTGTATCCAGCAGAATGTTTATCTATTGTCATCACATTCTCCCATTTTCTCTCATGTAGTACCTCTGTGTAAAATAAGTGAAATACATGACTTAATTGTTTAGTTTTCAAAATTGAACTACAAGTATCAAGTGCCTTAAATTTCACAAATGTTTCTATTGTTACGAAAACTAAGAAACGAATGTGTGCAGTAAATTAAATTGTAACAATGCGTCACATGTAGAAAAGTCCACGAGTACCAGTCCTGATAGTTATCACGTGATGAATTCAGAGTATAAGGTAAACGCTAAATATGTGGCGTAATATCAAGCATATTCAGGAAAGTGGCGTGTTATGTGATTTGAATACATTGCATTCTACTCTTCTGGACCTGGTTGCTCATCTGTTGGATAAATTTTAACCTCGGATTATAGATCTTAAATATCATACCCGTTGCTGTTTTCTGTCATGTCTACGTTGTTGTACTGTTTTAATAAGTTTTCATATTTATTGACCAGACCGTTTTACTAGGATCAGCAAAAAAGTGTTGATGATTACTTTTTATTTTGATACAAATGAACATTCACTGAAATTTTAGCCATAATTTACGTAACCAATGGTTAAAAAGCATTAAACGACATAGTTTTATCCCTTGGTTACATGTACGTTGTCCTATGTTAAAAAATTTAACTCTGGTTTATATTCATGCGAAAAATGAACAAACGGTTCCTGGTGTTGTACTGCCGCACACATCCTTACTGCAGGGAACTTAACTTAAGAAATCATCTTTATATACCTTCATTTTTTATTATGACACTTGCATAATGCATTGTATGCGTGTACTGTTTTGTTTGTATACTTTGTTATAAGTGAATTATTGCCCTAGTATCCTTGTCATTTCTACCCACTGAGGGACCTTAATTGGAATAAAACGTTTTGTTTTGACCTATACAACACGCAAAGTTGGATTTCGTAACGCGCAAATTAACAATTTATTGTTCAGGAAGACATTTTATCTTAGTTGGTCTCATTTTTAAACTACATTGTTAACGTGCACGATACTGCCAATATCATTGTCGTTTTTAACTCATTGACAACCATGGATTGATTGGTTGAATAAATGTAGTTTTTAACGTCAAGTGGCAAATATTTCATGCATATTTAGGACGAGCCATGGATCGAATCCGCAATCTCGCCAAGTTTCTTTGAGTAAGGTGCATGTACCGCGGCATCAAACCATCGAATACGATTGGAAAATTATTTTTTTTTTTTTTCAAAACTCGACAGTCTAATTGGCTAATTATTAAAATCAAATACTTACTTGGATTAAATTTGTCTCCACAATTAACAAACCCTCCATGTTTACATTTGTCATTGAAACCCCATCTATCATTGGTGACAACATAGTCTTTAACTGGACTATAATGTTATAATATAAAAGCACATTAGTATGCATGAAATATTTACTTTAATCCTTATATTTTAACTTGTCATTTTTATTTTACTTAATCTTGATTGATGTTTAAACAAACATACGCTTGCGACAAAAAAGGTAGACAAAACAGATTTGATTATATATTCAAGCACAAACAACTAAGAGACCCTTATTCTCGATTAAAAAACTGTTTATTAGAAGATCCGTTCGGTTCACTTCAGGCATTAGGTAGAGTCATATTATTAATAAGTAACTCGTTCGGTTCACTTCGGGGATTAGGAAGAGTCATATTATTAATAAGTAACTCGTTCGGTTCACTTCAGGGATTAGGTAGAGTCATATTATTAATAAGTAACTCGTTCGGTTCACTTCGGGGATTAGGTAGAGTCATATTATTAATAAGTAATTCGTTCGGTTCATTTCGGGGATTAGGCAGAGTCATATTACTAATAAGTAACTCGTTCGGTTCACTTCAGGGATTAGGTAGAGTCATATTATTAATAAGTAATTCGTTCGGTTCACTTCGGGGATTAGGTAGAGTCATATTATTAATAAGTAATTCGTTCGGTTCATTTCGGGGATGAGGTAGAGTCATATTATTAATAAGTAATTCGTTCGGTTCATTTCGGGGATTAGGCAGAGTCATATTACTAATAAGTAATCCGTTCGGTTCACTTCGGGGATGAGGCATGGTCATTGTGTTTTCAGTATCACTTCGTTTTGAAAAAAATATGACACTCAAGTGATACATATTTTAAAAAAGTTATAAAACGCAACCCAACGACACAAACAAGAGTGCACACGTTGAAATGTCTCGCCTTCTTTACTTATTATTAATATTGTGTTGAAGGTCCAAAATATAAAGCTTTTCTACAACTATCACATCAATTTAACATGATCCAAGAAAATGAGATCAAGGTCAGATAAACAAACTAAAATAGGAAAACTTAACATTGATCAATGAACCATGAAAATGAGGCCAAGGTCGGATGAACGCTGCCAGACAGACACGTACACCTTACAATCATTACATGTTTTAAATATAGTTTACATTTTGCATATAGTATCTCAGATACAAACTAAAGCAGGAAAACTTGAGATTGAACAATGAACCATGAAAATGAGGTCATGGTCAGATGATAATTGCCAGACAGACATATACACCTGACAATCATTCCATACACCAAATATAGGTGACCTATTGCTAATAGTATTAGAAAAACCGACCAAAAAACAAAAATTTAACATTGAGCAATGAACCATAAAAATGATGTCATGGTCAAATAAAACATACAAGACTGACATGTACATCGTAAAATATTTTCATACACCTAATATAGTTGACCAATTGCATACAGTATTAAAACAACAGACCAAAACACAAAAACTTAACTTTAACCACTGAACCATAAAAATGAGGTCAAGGTCAGATGACACCTGCCAGATGGACATGTACACCTTACAATCATTCCATACACCAACTATAGTATACCTAGTGCATACAGTATTAGACAAGAGTGCACCACTGAAATGTCTCGCCTCCTTTTCTAACCATAATGATTGTTATTATATTGATAGTCCTAAATATAAAGCTTTACTACAACTATTACATAAACTTAACATGATCCAAGAAAATGAGGTTATTATGTGGTAATAAGCATTGTGTATAAGTTTCATAACATTTGGTTGAGGCAAACTAAAGTTAGAGAACGGAAACGAAAAATTCAGCAATTTTTATGTTTATAAAGGGGGCATAACTGAAGAACGGTATAAGTGACCCTACCCATGTTCAAACTCAATCTGTGTTTTGTGGTAATAAGCATTGTGTATAAGTTCATAACATTTGGTTGAGGCAAACTAAAGTTAGAGAACGGAAACCAACTTTGGGACGTACAGACGGACAAGGGTAAAACAAAATGCCCCATCCTCTGCGGCGGGGGGATTGGGGGTAAGGGAGGGGCATAAAAACAGACCAAAACACAAAAACTTAACTATAACCACTGAACCTCAAAAAAATGAGGTCAAGGTCAGATGATACCTGCCAGCTGGACATGTACACCTTACAATCCTTCCATACACCAAATATACTAGACCTATTGCTTATAGTTTCTGAGATATGGATTTGACCACCGAAGCCTTGTTCACTGATCCATGAAATGAGGTCGTGGTAAAGTGAAAACTGTCTGACCGGCATGAGGACCTTGCAAGGTACGCACATACTAAATATAGTTATCCTATTGTTTATAATAAGAGAGAAATTAACATTACAAAATTTTTTTTCAAGTAGTCACTGAACCATGAAAATGAGGTCAAGGACCATGGATATGTGACAGACGGAAACTTCATAACATAATGCATCTATATACAAAGTATGAAGCATCTAGGTCTTCCACCTTCTAAAATATTTAGTTTTAAGGAGTTAGTTAACGCCGTCGCCGGATCACTATCCCTATGTCGAGCTTTCTTCAACAAAAGTCGCAGACTCGACAAAAAACAGACCAAAGCACAAAAACTTAACTTTAACCACCGAACCATGAACATGAGGTCAAGGTCAGATGAAACCTGCCAGTTGGACATGTACACCTTTCAATCATTCCATACACCAAATATAGGAGACCTATTGCTTATAGTATCTGAGATATGGACTTAATCACGAAAACTTAACCTTGTTCACTGATCCATGAAATGAGGTCGAGGTCAAGTAAAAACTGTCTGACAGGTATGAGGACCTTGCAAGGTACGCACATACCAAATATACTTATCCTGTTACTCATAATAAGAGAGAAATTAAGAATACTAAAAATCGTAACTTTTTTTTCAAGTAGTCACTGAACCATGAAAATGAGGTCAAGGACAATGGACATATGACAGACGGAAACTTCATAACATAAGGCATCTATATACAAAGTATGAAGGATCCAGGTCTTCTACTTTCTGAAATATTAATCTTTTAAGAGATTAGCTTACGCCGCCGCCACCGCCGGATTACTATCCCTATGTCGAGCTTTCTGCGACAAAAGTCTTAGGGGTCATATTAATAAGATTGTATAACTTTGCAGTTTATTTGTAACGTTTTGTCAGCCTCATTATACATTTGTATCTAACATAACGATTGATTCAATGGATTTGTATAAAATTACCATACATAAAACTTTCGTTCGATCTGTATTAATTTTCTGCTGTTCCCCTTTAAACAAAGCCATAATAAATGATCCTGTTGGAACAAATATTCAGTATCCTTTATCTCCATTATTTCCGATCAAACAGTAATGTGTTCCAAAGAAAATAATATTCCAAAATATTTGTTCCATTTGGAACTAATATTTATGAATTAAGTTGGTGACCTAAATGAGTGCCCAATGAAAACACGACAAAAGTAATCAACATCATTCAATCAACCTTCAATTCAATGCACATTCCAACCAATAGAATGACTTGGAGAGATGATAATATAAGATAATATGCCTTCCCTCGTTGCAAAATGTTGATATATAATGTAGACATTTTTGTTCATTTAATACATGAAAATGTTATCGAAAAAATAAAGATAGTCATGCATAATTTCACCAGTTTGTATGTTTTACGACAATTGTCATACCGTAAATCATTTTTTTAAATATGAAGTGGTCAGGTATTTCTTTTCTAATGATACCGTACAAGTCTCTGGAAAGTAAGAAATAGTTATGTTATCGTACCTGTCATTATAGAGCCAAGCAAGAAAGTTTGTTGAGTTCCAGTACGTGTCATTAGCAACCCAATCACCATCTGACCATATTATTTCCGGTTTGTACTTATTGACGATCTCATACAGTTCTGGCATTGTTTTAGCCTACAAAAGATGAATCATATTACCTGCTCTCGCTACAAAATATGTAGACATGGGACTGCAGAAAATAAAGAATGGCTTTTTTGTTCAATAGATTTGATTATTTTCTGATACAAATAGCTAGGAACCATGATAATAACGGAAATACAAAATCATGGTTTTGTTCGAAATGAAAGAAAATAAACGAACAAATCAATGAATCAACAATGATGGAAAATTCATTGATCCGAGTCATTATAATATCGTATTATGGTCCGAGTTTTCCGCGTAGTCTACACCAGATTGTTATTCAATATTGCAAGTTCGGGACAAACAGATCTAATTTTTCTGACCAAATTATTTTTCTAAACTTCAAACCAATAAATATATATAAATTAAACTTTCCAAACACGCGTCGAGTTAATATGAAGTAATAGTAAGAAATTATAAGCCATCGTATGATTCAACAATGAAAAAAACATACTGTGTTGTCTATATAAAGCCCCGTTATGAAAAACAATTCAAACGAGAAATCCAATGATTATTCAAAACGTATTAAAATATGTAGTCCTATAAAGTAACTGGGTTATTGGAGTAATGAACTAGAGGATAAGTAAACCTCTGGAATATATGGCTGCCTACAAAACACGTGAACATGTTCTTCGTTTGTTAAGGATGCTCTCTTTGAAGCAGAATTCAAAGTTAAAAACGAACTCTTTTTAACATTTTGTTCTGATGTTGTGATGTTACACCAATGTCGCAGGTTAGGGGAGGGTTGGGTTCACACACATGGTAACTCCTCAACATTCTATATGTGCCTGTCCTAAGTCACGTGCCTGTAATTCAGTGGTTGTCGTATGTTGCCGTTTATCTTATTTGTTTTTCGCGTTTATTGTTAGTCATAAATCAGGCCGGTTTTTTTTTCGTTTGAATTGATTCACATTGTTTCACATTTCATTATGTCGAAGCCTTTTTTAGCTTACTATATGGTGTGTGTTTTGTTTATTGATGTAGGCCGTACAGTGTAATATAGTTGATTAACTCATCGTCTTTTGGTTTCTGTTGGGTAGCTGTCTTATTACCAATTTTGCCACATCTTCTTAAGGCATTAAACCAGATTTTTATACACATATAAATATGCATGTAGATATCAAACACTAAATAGTGTAAACATGTTTCTATATCATTTTCTATTTGAAAGAAGCTTTGTCTATACATGTACCGTGAAAGTGAAACTGTCTAAACGACCTTGCGTTCAATTGTGCAGATGGTTTTAGAAAAAAAAACTTACAGCAACAAAATTTTGTGTTTTGAAATCATTTGCCTTATCTTGCAAATAAAGTCGATTAAACCACTCAAATAAGGAATGGTAGAGTCCAAAATGGATGTCTGTATTCTCCCTAATGGCGTCTGCAAGCTCACCTAAAATGAAAGAAATCACACACAATTTAGAATAGATTAATGTAATAGTTTCATTTTAAGTTTACAATTGGAATTTCTAACAGTTGACGTCGTACCACGGTTCGTTAAAAGTTTAACTTGTTCCACAGTCATCTATAATCAATAATAACTACTAATGTATACCCATACCAAAAACAATACGAGACCTCTCTTACGTCACGTGTATGTTTTTACAGAACAATTATTTATGCAGTTTTGATGTTAAACTTTGTCGGTTTATGAATGAAAATTGTTGAAATCTATGATCAAATTTAATAGTACCTTACTTCTGGTGTATTAACAGATGATTATACAAAACAAACGATTGATTGAATGATTGGTGTTTGCTTAACGTCCAGTGGCAAATATTTCATGCATGTTTAAGACGAGAACAAATTAAAAATAAATACAATAGTTAGGTTCTGTAATAGAGGCAGTCCGGCTTAATGTCAAGGGAATTTGAACTGTAACTTGAAAATGAGGGTATATTGGATAGGTATCGAAATTTTGCCTTGTAACAGGCCACCTGTGGACTACTCAAATAGTTGTTACAAATGTTCTTAACGTGTAGAGAGCGTGACACTTTCTCTACATGAGGCATCGTATTTAATGTCCACATTCTGACCGGACGTGGTTGCATACTTATACATCCAGCACAGCCAAAAGTACGCCCCTCTTTGGCAATGGTAATAATTTGTGGTGTGTCTACTTATATTGTTTTGGACGGAACAGCAAGCGTTTTTTTTATGTGCAATTGAAAGAAATAACCACCAGCTGATTTGCAAGATGACACTTCCGACATCTTCTTTTATTTTCATGTAGACATACAATTTAAAATAGCTTTGTGTTGTAGCATTGCAAGCTCGAGGCCAGACATTTAGTCTTATTTACATTATATATGCTTGGGCCAACATCTATGCTATTTCAGTTCTAGGACAAACAATTACTAACACTATCTATATAAAGACCTACACCCATGCTGTTCTATTTCATGGACAGACACTAACCAACTATATCTTGTTTAAGGCTACATCCATGCTGTTCCAGTTCGTGGACTGACACTTAACCCTCTTGCTGCCGGAGGGACACATGTGTCCACACGGGTTGTGCCGGAGGGACACATATATATATGTCCATGTTATAATTTATGCAAGCTACGCATCATTGCTGTATGACCCCCCTGTTTCTCTTTCAATTAAAATACCGAAGATTAAACAGTGTAACATTTTTCTTCAATGGGTCCAAAATATAACGGTCAGTATGGCATGACGTCATATATTGAATGACGTCATTGTTGGGCATTTGACGTCACAGACGTCGATCTGTCGTATGTTCTGGCACACGAAATGCAACATTGAAAAACAACTGGCAGCAAGGGGGTTTTAATAATATCCCTTTCGGGGCCAACATCCATTCTCTTTCAGTTATTGGGAAAACACTTACCAACAATATCTCTTTTGGGGCCGACATCCATACTGTTCCAATTCCAGGAATAATTGGAAGGCCACATGGTATAACCTTCATGATGTTTGGCCGTTAATACTACATACCTGATATGAAAATTAATATCAAAATAGAAAATCTATGAACAGAGATCGGAGCTGCAGTGTCAATGAAAAGGAAATACACGTAAGAATCAAGGAGAGTGTTTATCTTTTACTACTATGGGGTAGTTTAACAACATTTCCTCCAAAAGAGGGTCCCGATAAAATTGATTTTAGGTTCCAAAATAGAACATTTGTTTTCAATACTACTAAATTAAAAGTACATTATTGTCCATTTATTATAAATCAAATCCTAGTAGAAAAAAGTAGTACATTAGGGGAACATCTCAAGAGTTTCCAAATTTAAATAATTTTATTATACTTCACGTTAAGATGCCAGATTTTGATTGGCTAATACGAGGGAGATAATTTACTCTATCCCATGGCTCAGCGGGAGACAATTTTTTGAATGTCACCCTCTCGTGCAGACCAATCAAAAATTGATAATTTAAAGTACAATGAAGTGAATTTACATCAATATTTTTAAAGACCATGCTACAGTTCTACCTTTGGCCTCAGAACACTTTCATAGACTGTCAAAATAAAAAAAAACATCTTGCTTCACTTTTGTTGTTTTTTCTTATAACTGTAACGTTATACATGACGTTATAGTTAAAAGTACTTTCAATTTAAAATTCAAAAGACAATAATGATAGAACATTCAGTATAATAAATTAAATAACACATAGCTGAGAGGGTGATAGAGCAGATTGTTACCCCGAGAATACATTGTCAACCGAGGCGAACAATCTGCTCTATCACCCTCTCAGCTATGTGTTATTTATAAAGTGTCGCCTGAACAACGCAAAAAGCATATAAAAATAAGGGAAGTTTATTTTTATTTCAGAAACACAAAACGCTTTTGATTTGTATGTACTTAGGTTATGACAGGCTTAAAAACTTGTCCAGGTTTACATGTTTATCTATATTCAAAGAAATGTAGACTTAGTCGAAACGCGGTCATTTAAACAATTTATGTACAGCCTTAATGTTTGTAAATGTAATTACAATGTATATAGAGCTCAGTAGAAGTATTTGATAGTTTTTCAAAAGGGTCAATATAATGATTTTGATTACGTCTAACGATTTTTTATGAATCAAGCAAGCCAGTTAAAATATAAGAACATCAATATATATGCAATGACTGTAGACGACGGGATGTTACAAAATTCAAGGCCATGTTTTAAATAAAAAAGTATGCATACAAATGCACGAAAAACACAAAAATGTCAGATAAAATTCAGAAGGGATATAGTTACGATACTGTTGTCGGGTCATTAAAGATGGCATTTTTTGGAATTAATATTGATTCACTCATAGGGTCTTGGCATAGGAAATAAATACATTTAGTCTAAAACCAGTTGTTTGCATGATACGGGTTAATGTTCTTCTCGTATATTTTATGATGGTATAATACTAAACCCCTAACTGGAGGGATTGTGCTTGATTTTCATATGATGAAGACATAATCTTTCAATCAGTTAAATTGAGGTCTGGAGCTGGCATGTCAGTAACTGCTAGTAGTCCTTTGTTAATTTATGTTGATCATTGTTATTTTGCTTAGTTTCTTCTAGCTGTTACCTATTCCAACATCGGTCTCGAACTTCTTTTTAACTGAGTTTTACTGTGCGCATTGTTGTGTGTTTGTTTATTCTACATTGGCTAGATGTATAGGGGAGGGTTGAGATCTCACAAAACGTTTATGCGCCTGTTCCAAGTCAGGAACCTCTGACCTTTGTTATAACGTCTTGTATGTTTTTTTTTTAATTTTTGTTCATTAATATGTTTCGGAGTTTAGTGTGACGTCCATTTTCGCTGAACTGGTACACATTTTTGTTTAGGGGCCAGCTGAAGCTCGCCTGCGGGTGCGGAATTTTCTCGCTGTGTTGAAGACCCAATATAGTGGCCTTGACTGTTTTCTGCTCTTTGGTCTGGTTGTTGTCCCTTTGACACATTCCCCGTTTCCATTCTCAATTATAGTTATAGATTTTCCATTTGCAATAACTTGAAATAACAAATTACTTGTTTTGAACATAATAGTATAGTTATTTTGGGGGATACTGACTTTCAGTAGCATTTCTTATGTTCTATTCCTATATATATACATTGTACTTACTTAGCTCCAGAAAGTTTCAACAAATTAGCCCATTCTTTTGCATCGAAAAACTCTGCTGTTAATTGTGATGCAAAATCTGCGTAAGTAAAATCGGGTCGATAATTCTGTTTCATGAATTTTACTAGAATAGGACTTTTCCATCCTAACCACTGCTCCACGAACCATTCAGATAAGATCGAAGGAACTGAAAACACACCATAATGAATTAGAATACCAATCTTGGAATCATCGAACCAGCCCGGTAGTGGTCGTGAGTCTATCGACTCCCAGTTCGGTTCATATCTTGTACATGATGTATAAGCAATGCAAACGAACAGTAAAAAAGAAGTTACGTAAAACCCAATTCGTATATACATGTTTTAACTAGCAGCTGTGTAAATGTTGCCTTGTAGTCAGTCCACCATAAGATTTCACCAACGACCACAATTATCCTTCACAAACGACTACAATTATATCCTTTAGTGGAAATATGAAAGTATTAATGCCTTTAAATTTCCTGATCAGGACAATGAAATAGCTGATATGTAAACAACTAAAAATAGCACGAGTCACATGAACATAATTCAATAATAAAACAAGAAATCAGTTAAGCATAACAAACTATTTAAATCTAAAATTTGCTTTAAAAAAATCGATGAAACATCAGGTAAACTTGACACTATGCTTTAACTTAAGAGTGCTTAAGGTTCATCATAACACATGGACAGAAATAGCTGTATTTCCACCAAAAAAAACTACTCTGAGTATGGCATGGTATTGGTTGCAAAAATTTGATATTTTTCATTTAAATGCAATATTTTTCATTTAATTGGTATATTTTTTCATTTATATGCAATATTTTTTCATTTATATGCAATATTTTTTCATTTGTATGGTATATTTTTTCATTTAAATGGTATATTTTTTCATTTATATGCAATATTTTTTATTTTAATGGTATAATTTTTCATTTATATGGTATATTTTTTCATTTAAATGCAATATTTTTTATTCAAATGGTATAATTTTTCATTCAAATGGTATAATTTTTCATTCAAATGGTATAATTTTTCATTCAAATGGTATAATTTTCATTCAAATGCAATAGTTTTTATTCAATTGATATAAAATGTCATTTGAATGCAATATTTTTTGTTCAATTGGTATAGTAGTTTTTTTATTTATATGCAATAATTGCATTATGGGAAATTCTTTGACGTCATAAGGTCAAATTTGCAACAACGTTTGTGATTGGTCGGAAATTGTTTGGATGTCTCCCCTTTCTTTCTAAACATGGGTGACCAAGAATTAAAAAACGCGTCAGAATATCGCTCCTCTAACTAAATCTAACGTTCGTGCGAGTCCTGCACTGGCTGTTAATGCCAATAATGGCCAGGACGAGCAAACAATGCGAGTGACAAGTAATAATAATTAATTTGACACACAACTTGTTCATGGATAGCGCTGAAACAGATGCCTGCGTGCATGGCAAAAACACCTCCAATGAAAACCTTTTCTGAAGAAACTCTCCTACAGTCTACACATTGAAATACAAAAAAATACATAGCTAGCCCCCCTCCCCCTTCTAAGTCCAGATACATGTAATCATGACGTTCTTTAGTTCTATATCATTTTTTACCTTTCTTGATCCTCAGAGACGTTGCAGGAAGGCACATGAAAAAAGAATAAAAAGCATCCAGGACGTTACAATTATTTGGACTAAGCCCCCTCTTTTTTACTACATGTAGAAAAAAAATCACCTAATTACGACAGCAGAACTAGAAACCCACAAGTAGAGACATAAGCTGTTATACTCCGGAACTAATTCTTTAATAAAGACAATTCAGGATAAATTGGAACCAGTTACTAACCCATGTTACAACAATAGTCCTATGACATAGGACTACACTATATGAGGCGTGAACTTCATATTTAATACTATCTATGATATGTGCTCTCATGTCTTATGCTGCAAATCATTTTACATTTAGGATTCGTTGCTGAGCTTTTTTTTACTGTTCTCGCCTCCGAATCCCTTAAATAGATTTTTTTTTCAAGCCCCACAGTAGTTCAATAATTACTATATGTCTTTGCATATATAAGTATGCAGGGCATATTTCAAAACATATTTTATCTTCAGGACTTTTAAATGATTTACTTTTCAATACTGCATTGGGAAGGGGGGTATACAAGTTTATTTTGTGACACATTATATAATATAATTAGGTATCCAACAAATTATATGATTGTACGTTTAGCTATTATCTAGACCCGTACACAATGTATATAATTAGACACATTTAACAGAGGCGGATCCAAAACCTCGGTGTCTAGAAAGGGGGGGGGGGGGGGGAGTAGGTTCAAATTTAGATATTTGTATAGAGATGTATATATGCGAGTATTGGCAGTAATGGTTATGGTGTGTGTGTGAGGGTAGGGGGTTTCAGATCAAAGATCGTTTCTATAATTCTATATCTTTTAGTTTTTACCATTTCACTCTATTCTTTATCCTTTGATCTCTATTATATTTGTTCTAAACATGCGTGACATATTTGCCACTGGACATAAGGCAACCAAAAGTCAATCAACGTATTCTGTATATTTCATCATTTCTTTATTATGTTTTCTATAGGTTTGGTCCAGCCCCTTATCTATTTTTTTGCACATTAGGGACGACATCAAAAGTTAAATGTAGGATAAAAAAAAAATAATTCATATAGTTTTTTTCACTGACCCCCCTACCCCCCCCCCCCCCCCCCCCCCCCCCCCCTCTTAATTTAATTTCTTAATTTGGGAAAAATTGATTGACCAATAAGGATATATATAAAATCGATGTTAATTAAACAAAACTTGCAGCAATTTTGACCCCCCCCCCCCCCCCCAACTATTTGAATTAAGTTTTTTATCCTTCATTGATTTTCTGATGTCGTCCCTTATCCTCTCTATGTAAACCCAATTCATGTCCTGATAAATGGTGACTCATGCATAGCTTCATTTGTGGTTATTAAAACAAGAAACATATTCATATTATAATAATTAATGTATGCTAGGACTTATAGATAGATGTCATTAGTCCCAGGTCATGTAATAAAGTAGGTCTTATAAAAATACAATAGCATTTTAATTTTGATGATTATATATATGTTTATATATTTAATAATGCCATTCTTTTGGAAAAAAGGTAGGGGCAAGGCGTTTTTAAAACATATCAATGGGACGCGTTTTTTTTTTTTGTTCTTCGGAAGTGAGCCAGAAGAAGTCCATTTCTGTTTTTTTTTTTTTGCATTGGGAAGATCTTCTGGCTCTCTTCCACCTCTTCTTTTTTGATAGGTTGACGGCAGAGGCACATAACAAACATGGCGTCGTTTAGTCTAAATGAAATTAATAAATTTATGAATGCAGATATATTAGAATGTGAGCTGTTTTATAAACGTTTTATGGTATGACAGCCTTAGTAGGACATCCCTGTAGGACGATAAGCTGGATAAATATAAGAACTACACGGACAATAACAGTTAAGGGACGATTATTTGATATTCTAGGGAAGGGATTTTGATTGATTGGTGTTTTACGCTACTTTCAACACTATTGGGCTATTCCGTGGTGGTCAGTTTAAATTTATAGATGAAGGATGGGGAAGGGGAGAGGGGGCATTATTATTTATTTCAATCTGTCGCTAATCATGCCTATTTTTCAGCTCTTACCAGGCAACCATATTCATATATGAAATCCTTCTGTCCCCCGACCCAACAAATAAATAAATATCAAATGGGTTTCCTCTAATTTAAAACAAGTTTAAATTGATTGATTGTTTGTTGCTAATTTTAACGCCTAGTGAAAATTATTTCATGCTTGTTCAGGAAAACACGAGTTTAGAAGTCACGTATATAATATAAAAATGAAGAGATGGAATATGATTGCTAATAAGGCAACTATCCACCGGAGTTCAAATATGAAGTGGATGTAAGCAATTATAGATAAGATAAGATAAGATAGAAAAAAATTATTTTAATTCGGGTTACATGAAATACTACAAACATGAGCTCTGTAGAGCTTTTTGCCGTCATGTAGACAAATGATTTTTGTATACAATCGTAAGGCCTTCAACAATGACAAAAACCTGATACTGTAAAGTCGTCTATAAAAGGCCCTACATTAAAAGTGTGACTGACAATTCAAACGAAAAAACTAACAGCCTAATTATACATAACAAAACAATTTACAAAATATCAAATATGAGTCGAGACAGGAACCAACGACAACCATTAAACTACAGGCTCCATCCCTGGGACAGGCAAATAAAGAATATGGCAGGGTGGATATAAAAACGAAGATGTGGTATGATTGCAGATGAGACAACTCTCCACAAGAGATCAAATGACACAGAAATCAACAGCTATAAGTCACCGTACGGCCTTCGACAATAAGCAAAGCCTACACCGCATAGTCAGCTATAATAAGCCCCGAAATCAAAAATGTAAAACAATGCAATCGAGAAAACTAACGGCCGAATTAATGTACAAAAAAATGAACGAAACACAAATATGTATAACAAAGCAACAAACGGCAACCACTGAGTTACAGGCTCCTGACTTGGGACAAGCACATACATACAGAATGTGGCGGGGTTAAACATGTTAGCGGGATCCCAATCCTCCCCCTAATCTGGGACAGCGGTGTAACAGTACAACAACATGTTTGTGAGCAACCCATCCCGAAGCTGGGACAGTGGTGTAACGGTACAATAAAATAACAACCTGCACAAATCAGCAAATTACTCAAAAGATCGGTAGGAGACACACACAAAAACTAACATTAAGACAATAGACACAAAGCACCGACATAAGAGTATTTGCAATTACTGGAAGTTTGCTCAAACCTAATTACAACTGGTACTGAAATAAATCTTGTTCTCCCAGACCGAGTTATCAATCAGTACACAACGCGCGGCAAAGGATTTATTAAAAAAAACAGTCTGAGAAACGTCTGGTTTACGTTGAATATACATATAAGAAGATGTGGTATGAGTGCCGATGAGACAACTCTCCATCAAAGTCATAATTTGTAAATGTAAACCATTAAAGGTCAACGTACGGTCTTCAACACGGAGCCTTGGCTCAAACCGAACAGCAAGCTATAAAGGGCCCCCAAAAATTAGTAGTGTAAAACCATTCAAACGGGAAAACCAACGGTATCTAATCTATTTAAAAACCCGATATACTTGCATATAAATCCATATACAATGAAACGGTTTTTGAAAAGTGGACCGAACGTTTTGACCATCGAAATTTTGCAATAGAAATACTAGTTACGACCACAAGATTTTAACAGCCAGTGCAGGACTCGCACGAACGTTAGATTTAGTTAGAGGGGCGATATTCTGACGCGTTTTTTAATTCTTGGTCACCCATGTTTAGAAAGAAAGGGGAGAAATCCAAACAATTGCCGACCAATCACAAACGTTGTTGCAAATTTGACCTTATGACGTCAAAGAATTTCCCATAATGCAATTATTGCATATAAATAAAAAACTACTATACCAATTGAATAAAAAATATTGCATTCA